ATAATACATTTGGACATGCAGAAAATTACTATAGAAAATGTCATTCTAAGCAAGCAAGTAAAACAAACTACTTTATGCCACTGACACAATTCGAACAATAAAGAATGTGATGTATTGAAGGGATGCACCGATCCAGCTTTTTCAGTTCTGATTCTGAAACTATAGCTTTAAATAAACCGATACCAGTGCAGAGACTGACAACAGCTTTATTTCCTTTAAAATAAAACTCTAATACAACAATAAAACTGATCCAAATGTGTCATGCATTTGTTATTTATCCTTCAAGAGAACGGCTTTGTATAAATAAAAGTTCAAATGTTTTCTGAGCCTAATATGCACTGATATCTGATTCCAGTATCGGTTCATCCCTATAAAAATTTAAGAAAAATTCCTTACTAGTGCAAAGAAATCTACATACAAGAAATACTGAGTAGGGGTCTGCAAAAATTTTGAAATATCAACATATTGTATCGTTTAATGTGATGATACAGTATCGATATCGCCAAGTCGAGTATTTTTTGGTATATTTTAATCAATTATTTTGTTACAGTGCTACAGTTTTGTTGCTTGTTTAGAGAAAAGAAGCTTATTTGTGCAACCCATTTGACATATTTACTGTTCTGATGATTAAAATGTGTGTGTTTCATATTAACTTTGCACAAGAAGCGGTTTAACAAAGACTTTTAGTATCACAGCCATGATTTAGCTGTTTATTTTTTTATTGAAAGTGCACCGTATTGAGGTATGTATCGTATCTGCAACTTCTTAATGATACCCAGCGCTAATACTGAGCCTAAAAGCTTTTTTATACTGCACGATAAAACTATATAGTCATTATCGAGGCCTGCAGGCACGAAAAAATTTTCAGTTTGACAAAGTGCAGGGTACATTGCCACTTAAAATAGTCACATTGCTGAAGAGGCGTACACCCACACAGTAAATCACTTTCATTGTTGACCATCCCACCATTTAGCACACACTCCGATGTTACGCTCTACATGTTGTGCAGCATGTCGTAGGGTTATGTGGCTAGAAGTCAGTAGTTTGACTTGTTGCTGTAATATGAGGCTTCTGATGTAACTAACACTGTAGCAGGAATCAACAGCACCACATCCTGCCTCAGCCTCGCGCCCAGACGTGGAGCGGCGTCGTCACTGGCAACCCACTGAAATCAACCCACGCACCATCGGGTCGACTGGCACGCTCAAATGCTTGTCTAGATTTCTTTAAAGAAGCCAGGTGCCAGGCCAGGTGGGCATTCATAAGTAATGTTCAGTTCAGTATGTCACACTAATCTGTTTGGGTGGGCAGAATGAAACTGAATCGGCAAGCAAATATAGAGTATGTGTGTTTGTTTTAGGTCGTGGGGTTTGATTGGGTGGGCAAGAATATAATTAGCAATGCCATCCTTGTCTATGGCTACAGCTTAAATGTCCTAAAATTGACACTTTAAGCCATGTTATGATGTTTTTACCTCCTCAACCTACATGGAGTTGTGTTTTGTTTCATTCACGTGTGTTTGAGTAAACCTTTATTATTATTTCAGTAGAGACTGGAAATTCCAGGTGTGAAATTATTAATATCTGCATACTAAATCTGAAAATGTAATAAGGATGAATCAAACATGCATGAATCAATCAAAATACAACTTGAGAAAGGAAATGAAGATGGGAAAACTGTCATAACATGGTTAAAATCCCATTAAAGACAACTTTGCATAATTTAAATCTTAGTATTTAGGTACTTTCATTGCTTTGCTTGTTACAAATACATGCAAAGTATGTTTTACACTACAGTCTACAGTCATTGCTGTGTACCGTAGTATCACAGTATGACCATACAAGCTACAGGACTGTAAATAATCCCAAATTTTAGCGTTGTATTGAGCTTGGGGCTATCATAACACGTGTAACAATAACACGGCTTTATTATCTTGGCCTTTCTTTTGTTTGGGTTATTTTCTTCTTGTCAGTTTGCGATGTAGAGCTGCTGAGACAAAGCGTGTGCTGATCTAAAGTAGGTGTGTTGCGTCTTGGAAAAGTGTCTCTACAGAGCCGCTTTGAGCCTGACATGTCTTTGTTCTTGTCCCTGTGTGCGGTCCTCTCTCACCTCTTTTGTACTGCTATTATCTCACTCAATAAAAAAATGGGGGTAGTCCTTGGCGGAGGTCTGCGCTCTCTGAGTGCTTTTCTAGTTCTTTTTGTTTTTAAAATGTGTTCTGTAAAGCGTCTTTGAGTGTCCTGAAAAGTGCTATATTTAAAACAAGTATTATTATTTATTCTCCGTTAGGTTTCAAGCATCATTAAACATGTTATTCACTGACCGCAGGCCCAGCAAACTAATATAATAATAATAATGCAGTTAATGTTACAGATATAGAGATGGGACAAGATCACTTGCCAAAAATGTGTGCATACATGAGGAAAATTTTTTGTGAGATTTTATTTATTTATTTTTTTCATTTATTTTACTTTTAAATTGAAAAAAAAAAAAAGGTTTAAGGGCTGGTAAGTTACAACTCTTGGGGAACTGTGATTCTAAAATCTATTACTGCAACTAAAATTTTAAATAAAAAAAAATGCAACACTGCAAACGGGATCGCATAATTATTTTAATATAAATTCAAGGGCGTAGGTTTGGTTTCAGCTTTGGTGGGGACATTATCAGTTAACCCCCCCCCCCCCTTTTTTTATTTTTATTTTTTCATTTCACAAAATGTGCAGTTTGTGTCCATTGTCCTTCTAAGATGATTCTTTAGCGGATAACGTGAGTGCGTATACATGCACATCAATAACCCGGTTATGATTCGGGTTTTTTGAGTATCCCAGTTTCTTGATGGTGCATGTAAATGCAGTAACCCGGTTTCAGTAACCCGGTTATGGCAGTATCCCGGTTATTAGAAACCGGGTTACTGTAGCTGGTTTATTCCGATAGTAACCGGGTTACTTGTGGCATGTATACGCAGTACCCCGGTTACTGCAACATAAAGTTGAGTGCACATGCGTCCAAAAGACACTTTCCAGCCTTTCACCACAACAGTAGTCACATAAATAAATTGACCAACATAAATAAAGTGACCAAACGAGTGAAATGACTGTAAAATAAAGAGCTGCGCTAAACCTGCACACGTACAATCTGCACTCGTACGACCTGCACTTGTGTGACGCTGAAAAGCTAAAACATGAACTATCTCCTATACACTATACGCACAGAACACACTTACCATCATTAGCGCCTCTTCTGTCACAGAAATAACACACATAATCCACAGAGTCGTGTCATTTAGTCCAAAAGAAACTGATCACATCAGCGGCGCAAGGATCGAGTTGTTTTTTCGCCGCTAAAAGTTTATGCTAATTAGCCTCGGTCTTAAGTTTCGTTTCTGTAAAACGTAAACAAATGTGATCACAGCTGAATTATCTGATCAAACGGGCTGATGTGTCTATAGTGTTTATGGTTTATATGTTGTAAAGTTGAGTTTATTTATGCAGAAGATTTTAATGAAGAATCTGCACAGTGGATTGTGGGAGATCTCGTAGCTCCTTAGCTTCTTATGCTAAAGGAGCTCACGGTTTGTATTTTTCCTGGTTTATGAAATTGATATAAGTTAATTTTTGCGCCTGCGCATTTGTAAGATTATGTCAAGAAACCGGGATACTCCATTTGATCATGTATACGGGGATATGAGTGTCCCGGTTTCTCAGTGCACATGTAAACGCAGTAACCCGAATACTGACATAACCGGGGTATGGCTAATAACCGGGTTATTGATGTGCATGTATACGCACTCAGTGATGTAGAAGTTTGTAGCAGATTTCCTTTTGCTTGTTGGTGATGAGATATTTGTGAGGTCATGTCCAAACATTTTTCCATGGATATTGTCAGTAGAGTTGGGCACGAGTAGGGCTTCGTTTAGGAGGTGCACTTGTGGTGATAGTCGCTCTTTTTCCGCGTCGACTCATTATAAGTAAAGTTTAATTGAAGATGCGGCCCTGTCCTACCACTTCCCCAGTTTAGGCTCCTGGCTCCACTAATGACATCACTGTGTTGCAGCCAATGAAACAGCGGCAGGAGTAACCCTTTCGTCATATCACTGAATACATCTCAGAACGTCTAATAATCAAAATATGAACTAAAACCTGTTAAATCAGTACTATTGAGTTTGGAAAAATATCTGAATAAATTTATATTTTTGTTTATTAAAATAAAATGGCAAATATTGGTAGGGACTATTCTGTCTTCCCCAAATATTGGTTGTGACACGTCCCCGCTGTCCCTATGCAAACCTACGCTCTTGTATAAATGATTTCAAAAACTTACATTGTCTCATTTTCGTGAACCTCTCGTGTCTCGTCTCGTCACTTGTCCCAGCTCTAGTAAGATACTACTGGAGCCAAAGCTGTCCTGGGGCAGTCTGACAAAAGCGAGGCTGCCAATCTGCGCCATCCGACCACCACCTCAAACTCACGCTAGGCAATGTGGGTGAAGTGTCTTGCCTAAGGACACCATGATAGTTTCCACCAGGCTTTATCATGCAGGTATTACTACAAAACTATATCACCAAAATACATTTCTGTTGCTTTTCTTGTGATAAAGTAGTACCTTTGGAAGTGCATGACATGAATTAAGATTTATGATGCAAAAAAATATTATATGGAAATTATGCGGTGGAAGGATACATACTAGACGGTGTTATGAAGAAAATAATTAAATCAACAATGGGAAAGATGCATCAGGCTGGACAAAAACCATGACTAGACACTTTAAAAATATACCATTAATGAGGCGCATACATTGTGCATCGTCGGCTAAAAATACAATAAAACAAACAGTGCAAAACCATTATAAAAAACCGTCGGGAGCACAAAGCTTATTCAAATGACTCGCATGTGAAAAATGCGAGCAGGAATAGCTGAGGCCTAAATATTTGGAGAGTAATCGTGTGTCTGTGTATAAGAGCTGATAGATACATAAATACATGGAGTGATGTGATTGGTTACCTGGAGTTGGGCTTGAGGTTCTCCACAGGCAGATGTGTCCCACTGGACGAGCGAGAGGACCATCTGTTGTTCAGCACGTCGTCGTAGGAGGCCGAGTAGACCATGTAACCTGCGAGAGGAACAAACAGACCAAAGACTAGTTATAACTTGTTTAGTATTTGTCATTCCTGTGGACTGGAGATGGTCACTTTATGTCAGGGGGTTTAGTCTGTACTGGGGAAACCAGGATGCAGTATCATTTATACATAAGTAAATATAGTAATACTGTTTTATAAATCAGTAAGAATGACTAAACTAAAATACTGAAATCTCTCTGGTTCTGTGGTTATTTTGTAATAAGTTGACTGTATTTTGAGATTAAAAGAAATGCCATTTTCAATCCCTACACTGGCATCTGTCGGCTACTGACTATTGGTAGATACTTAAGGACAGGGGTCATCAAACTAAGGCCCACGGGCTGATTCTGGCCCGCCACACCCCTATGATCGGCCACCAAGCCCCTCTGCCCCCTGCCACTTGAACTGGCCCCATGCGGCAATCCTCAAAAGTTGTCATGGCCTTTTTTTTAAAATTACTTTTTGACAAATAATAACACGTCTGCATCTTGTATTTTGTTGCTTTTTTCATTTAAAAAATATTTATATTTATGTGAAGTATTTATATTTAAATCATTATATGATGTATTTACATTTGTCGCTGAATTTGCCGTTGAATTGTCATCACCTGACAAGCTCGAGATCAAACAGTGTCAGCAAAATGGCGAGTGTTGAAGTACTACAAGTCGACAGAGAGTGCCGAGTTTTCAAAGAACAGTGGACAACTAATTATTTTTTTGTTCAGTGTAAGGGCCGTGCAGTTTGTCTGATATGTAAAGAAAGTGCGGTGGTTTTCAAAGAATATAATCTGCAGCATCATTTCTGTTATACGGCCGACCCGACCCTGGCCCCCATCACAGTCAGGAGCGATAATGTGGTCCTCAGAGGAAAAAAGGTTTGGTGACATAGTATCAGTATTGGTATTGAAACTGGAAGAAATTGGATACCTGCATCCCTGGGCCCAGCATAGTGTTTATATGCATGACTTTCTGGTCCATTGTCCTGTCAGTCCTAGTGCTACTTATGGCTCTTTCTTTTTTAAAAGTAATTTAACATTTTTTTAAATAAAAAAACAGAAATGACGCACAAAATAAACACACTAGAAACTGCGCATCGTGGCTCTAAAAATACCTTCACATTTTTTACATGGGAGTTTTCTCTGCAAATCACTGATAAAATGAGACACAGAATAAGGCAGAGTGAGGAGAGGAGAGGCCCTGGCTGGAGCAGGTTAAAGTCAGTCTGACTTTAATAACAAATGAGAGCTCACTGTCAAAGTTCTGTCTTTTGTTTACATGTTTTCTCCAGTCCAGCTCAGTTTCTCAGTCTGTTCTGGTCCTCCTTTTGCTACCTCCCACCTTTTTCTGCTGCCACTCCTTCCCTAATCATCTCAAGGTAGACTATAGGCGAGTTTCAGCTGACGTCATTGTTATTAAAAGCCCGCGTTGCATGCTGGGAAATATTTTGGAATTTTCGGAAGCAAGAAACAGGATAGTGGTCAAACACAGTGCGTAACCTCGTGTATTTATCCCCGATAATGGTAAATTCCTGCTGCATTATCGGATGCACAAATAGAAGCACGGAAGGAGGAAAAAGGGCGGCAGTTCAGTTGGTAGAGCATTCGCCCACTGATCTGAAGGTTGGCGGTTCGAATCCAGCTCTTGACATAAACATCACAGGTTGGCTGGTGTGATTCCAGCTCCCACAGATGAATGCTGTGTCCTTGGGCAAGACACTTAACCCACCTTGCCCACAGTGTCTGCGTACACTGGTGTGTGAATGTGTGAGTGGTTCCTTGTTGTAAAGCGCTTTGAGTGCCTTGAAGGTGGAAAAGCGCTATAGAAAAATGTGACCATTTACCAAAATGTCTTTTTCGTATTCTGAGTGAAAAGAACCGCTAACGGTGAATTAAACGGACTTTCAAACATCCGCAGAGCAAACGTAGAAGATCCTAACAAACCGTGGACTCCAACAAGTTCAACAACACATCGAGACTCTTGGAGGTTTTCATCTTTTCTGCTGTGAATGGCCCAGGAGTTTCCACCAAGTCATTGTGGATATCACCAAAGTGAATATTTGTCCAGGTAGTTGGCGATTCTGACCAGAACTTTGGTTTGTTCCACCTTTTGTCGGGGTTGAAAAGGGTGATTTGGCTCCGTCGATGCTTATGACCAATTTCTGGTCAAATGGTCTTGGGTCCTCTGCCGTTAGAGTGGATAAATAACCGGGATCAATACCCTTTACGTGCTTTCTCGCTCCGTCCGTCATGTTGAATTAGTGTTTCTTGCCGCCGACCAAAATAATTCCCAGCATGCAACGCGCGCTTTTTTCAACAATGAAACTCGCCTTATATATACTCCAGCTGTTCATTCAGTCCTTGCTAGATTGTTGACCAGTCACGACAGACATTCAATCTCTGTATCTGAAGTTTGCAATTTGTGCAATTCTGCATTATTTCCCTGTTTGTAGTCGATGTTTCTGAGTTTATCCCAGCCAGAATTTCCCAGTTTTAGAGGATATTTTAGTTCACATCATAAATTATATATTCTTTTGTTGTTTATGAGCCTGATTTGTCCTATTAAGATTTACATTTTGAAGGACACTTTCTGTTGCACTGAAATAGATTTAGCGTTTGGCTGTATTCTCTGTGTTCCATTAGAGTCGAAGTCGCTCGCATGATACTCGCAGAGAAACCGGAGAGGAGAAGCTGCGGCTCTCGTGCTTCTGCTCACGGTCGAAGCCTCCTGTCAATCTCAGCGCTCGCCACAGAAGCGTAAAACCTTCATGTATTTTCAGCTGCGGCGCCAGGTCCAAATCTGACAGGTTCTAATGGCGGCAGGAGCGCGGCCCGGAGTGAAAATAACGCAGGTGCTCGTTTTCTCTACGTGCTCTGGCCTTCTGACAGTAATGATATCACAAGACGCATCCTTCTTAGAAAATGTAGTATTTGTACGAAGCTGTTTTTGAAGAGCAAACATTATAAAAGCTCAAATTAAATGATTGAAAATGTCCCTTTAACCAGCGGGGGGTTCGACCTGGACGGACATTTAAAACTCACTCCACTAAATCAACGCGCACGGAAAATCCTGCTCTTAAAAAGACGGTTCCTGGAGGTAGGTGGTCTCGCTTTGAGGAAACATCTGCGAAAACACAACTTGGCATCTGTCTGTCTGTCTGCGTCTGTCTCTCTTTACTTCTGACCTGTGGCTTGTGGTTTCGTCTGCTGCAAATAACTTTCTAATGCCATACTGCGGGACATTCCGGGCCAAGCTAGAACATCTCCCCGGTGGAAGCTGAATCGGAAAGCGACACAGGACACCTTTAAAGCCTCGCATGTGTTTGTGTTGGACCGGTCCCAGTACATCTGTTTCCACGATCCGCCGTCAGACCGGGCGATGTACTTGACTTGTGCCTTTGCGGCGTAACTTCGCTTTCAAGATTTTTTCCTATAAAATCCGATGTAATCCAGCGCTAATTATTCCGAGGCCAAAACTGATAAAGGGTTTTAAATCAAAGCAGGTAGGAATTCCTGACCTCATCTCTTGGACATTACACGTGAACACATGTTTTGAACACTTGTTTGGAAAGTGAAGCGGTGTTGTGCAAATACGGAGCGATACATCAGACTAAACCTGCTCTACCTGCCAACGTGTTTACATGGTACATAGAAAAGTAATGGGATTGTAAATAGACTCCTCACTTTTATGTGAAGAGGTGAAATTACAGTCTTTAGTGTGCATTGTGTGAGCACTGTGTAAGTTTTTTTAGGGTCTGCAACCTGCTCGTCCCCATGGAGATGTTATGTTATTGTTTTAGCTGATGCTTGTCAACCAAAACAATCTTATATTTGTTATAACATGGATTTATCATTAGATAAATATACATAATGCATTTGAAAACAGGTTTACTCCTGGGCATACAAGCATTTTTTCAAGTTGCACAGTGTAATTTTTCTGGGATGTTCCACAACATTTTTAAACAAATATATTTGTTTAAAAATTTTGTCCGTGTCTTCACTGTCATTGTTACTGTCAGCATTTTTGTGTTTGACCATGTTTATTTGTTTTATTTGTTATGTTTATAGAAGCGTCTGGAACAGCGAGCAAATCAAGTGGTTGAGCGCGTTCATGCGCTGCAGTAAAGCGCAACGTTTGTTACTTCAAACGCCAGGTCTTGATGGAAACATGTGCGGGATACATTTGGATTATTTTTCAATGGGGAAATAATACACCACGATAAAGCAGGTTTAACGTGACAATTCAGCTCCGGCAGTTTTGCGTCTCTCTGTGGGAGTGAATGGAAGCGAGAGGAGGACACGCCCCCCATGCTTCCAGGTGTGGCTCCGCCTTTACCAGTTACGCTGATCGCCAGACAATCCGGACACCGACAGGAGACTCAACCCTGCAGCATCCGGCGTCAATGGGTTAAATTAAGTTAAATTAAATGCCAAACTGTGAAACATTCCAGGGGAAAAAAAAAACAAAACAAACTGTAAAATCGACATCGAGTCAAGCAAGTGTCAGACGCTCTGCCAGAAAAGTTGTTGTGCACACGCTGTCGCAGACGAGCCGTGCACAGGGAGCGTGTGTGTTTGTGATGCGCCGTAGAGTCTCCGCGGGTTTCAAATGAGCGCACAGGCCTGCACTGAGACGCCCCACACGCTCCTGCACCCGCTACAACTTTATTACCAACAGCAGCGGCCGTAATGAAATATGATCACACTTGTTGAGCGTCAGACCTCGAGTGAGAGACAAGACCGAGTCCAAACGCGATCGAGTCCGAGACGAGACGCGGCGATCTACCCACACGACTGGGAGATCGCGATCGACGTATTGAGCACCCGCTTTAAAACCATCATACACTATACTGCCACTACAAGAGACAAATTATTAGCAAATGCCTGAAAAAAGCACAAAAATCTACAGCGTCTTTAATGTAAAAAACAGACCAAAATACCAAAGACAAAGTTGTCAAAAGTGCTTGGTATAAAACGGACAACACCGCACCTCTGAGT